AAGACTTTATGGCGTGTAAGAGAACAATAGAGGTCACACTGTAGATCTATTTTCATTTGTATGAAACAACACTTTTATGATGAGTGACTTTTCTAGAACAACAGAGGCAATACTGTAAGTCTATTCTAATTTGTATGATACAAGACTTTTATGACGTGAAATTTTTTTAGAACAATAGAGGTCATACTGTTTTATTTTGTATAAAACAAGACTTTTATGACGAGTAATTTTTCTAGAACAATAGCTGAAGTCAATGCCATACTTAAGGGTTAATGACCCGCCCCAAGGTGAATATGGTGTGATAAAGCCTTGTCAGTTGCTATAACCACAGAATAAAGCCACCAAGTGAGCGCAGGCTTTATGAGGTGGTTATAGCAACTGACAAGGCTTTATCACACCATACTCACCAAGAAAGGGCGGGACATTAACGCTATTATCATATAGCTTCCACGATAGTCTATTCAAACTGATGCAGTAAGTGACACAATGCACATGCTGAATAGAACATAGAACATAGTTCCATCTGGAGTCACCTGAGGTCACTGGGTAGAGTTCACGTTAACTGGGTCACAGGCGAGGGAACGGTGTTCTTATGGGAGTCACCCGAGGTCATTGGAACACAACTCAAGTTATTTTTGGATTTTTTAGAGCCAGAGCCCTGTTCTATTGGGTCACCTGAGGTCATATGCGGGTGATTATTTGGGTTGTTTATTGTATGGATTGGGATGAAGAAATACCCGATTTTGACTCTATTTGTGACATTACGGCGTCATAAGGAATGTGGAATGGAGCCTTCTGATTGGTAAACATCACCTGGCTATATGATAATGTAAGTTGATCAACGTCAGAGCACTTGACTATAAATATTTATGTGTAAATATAAATTAATTTATGTATATATTAATATGATATATTATGAGGTGTCATGACTTAATCTGAGGAGGTCAGATGGAGTTCATTGGGCACTTTTGAACCCGGCTACCTGGGTGACCTGTCGCTCAGTGCATCGATGCTTTATGTCTGTTTTCATGTTCATGATTATCATTATTATTATTATCATTGAGGTATATTATTGGTAAACATGGTTCATAACCATGGTATATAGCTTTTGATTACGTCATCAGAGGAGGTCAGGCAAAGTTAAGCGAGTTCTTTTTCAACTCAGATAACCAGGGTAACGTATTGTCAAGCAATGTTTTTTTACGCCTATGACAGAGACAAATACAACAGCATGTCAGAACCATATTATATATACCGAACTCTATACCTTTCTCTGGAAATTGAACACGCACACACACCACATAGAATTTGGATAGTCTTTCTTTTTTGTTTTCTAACTGATGCAGTTGTATGAATGAATGAATGATCTTTATTGCTAGACAGTTGTACATGGTACAATGTATGGCAAGGATGACAATGTGGTCTTGACAATCATACTAGTCAATTCCTAGAAACTAAAACCACACAAATACAACGTAAATGGCGTATTGACATGATGTACATTGTATTAAACATTTCTGTCTGTCACAATTTTTTTCTAAAGCGTTACATACGTATTGGCCTAGGTACACAGATAAGGGGTCTGGGCATGACATAAGTAGACAGTTGGCAACCAGCTATTGGACCAGGGAAAGTCCTTGAATGGTTACAGACAGTGCTTATGATGAATAAAGATGATATAAAAGTTACGTCACACCATCTGCAGTACTTAAATTAAATCTACTTACTAGTCTATCACACCTCACCCAGGACTGAATGGACATATTTGTCCTAAGCGTAGAATTTGTCAGTAACTCTCAGAGACTGAGGCGGACCCTGTTCAGTTAAAGCCAGCTGGTCACTGACAGTAAAGGCGCTTATAAGGAATTTCCTCACTGGTAAGTGATGATGCATTATTTTCTATGTGCCTCTGGTGCAGCATTTTTTTAGCCTGGTGTGCAGTCTATAATGGGTAGGGCGGGCTTTCTTTGGGGCTGCAGGAGCTCGATTCCCTTAAGTTTTCGGGTAGATTTTGGACTAAGCTAGGGAGTTCAATTAGAGCTACCATAATCCAATCTAGTACTGAGGTTCGGCTAACTTCTGATGTACAAAACTCTACTAACAAAGCTCCTACTGGCGTGTCAGGCAGTCTCTTGAGCTGGGCGCGGCAAAACTATTAAAGAGACTTAAAAGGAAGCTATAGGAGAAAAAACATTTTCAGAACAATGTCAATTTTTATGTCAATCTTAAGCTTTGTTTATTTTTATTCATTTGCACAACAGAATCAAGAAAAAAAATCAATTTAAATCAATTGTGAAAAAATAGTGACTATATGTCATGTGATCACCCCTAATTAGTCTACTTCACATAATCAAATATACACTGAGCAGGATTGGAGCCATTTTCCTTTTGGAAAGTATCCAACTTACTACAACACAGAGTGTGATTAAGCTGTACATGTGTATTGCATATACTCAGCAATCACTGTACATTCTTGCCGATTTAACACTTCAGATTTCAGGATTCAAGCCATAGCTTTAAACCAACTAACAAACTACATGTACTTAATATCAAAATTCAAAACGGTGTAGATAAAATTAGAGCTGTGCTCAGGCTGTTATTTCTGAAGTCTTCACTGGTCCATAAGAAACTCAGCCTTAAGGCTGGTATTTTAAACATTTCTTAGACCCTTTCTATTGCAGCGTCCTTGAGTACAGCAGATAACATTAGGCGTGTTAATAAAACATTGTGAAATCAGCGGCTGTCCTTGGTGCTGATATTATGGCAGCTACATATTTTTCATCTGTGGTTTTGTTTGATTTGTTCTGTTAACAAAGGCTATGGCAGGCACGATGTTTTGACACCTCACATTGTTTTAGATAGAAAAGAAAATGTGTGATGCAACTGCCTTTTTCTATAGCAAACTTCACTTAGTCTATCGAAATCAACAAAACTGAACCAAATATGCCACATCAAATATTACCTACATTGTTCTTTTAAAACTATTTTAAGGTAAAAGTAAAGAAACTTTGAAAAGTCCAACCAGGCATCATCTTGGTTCTCAGGCTCTGTTTTTTAATGTTTTTCACAGTTAAGCGTAGCAAAGAAACCAAATAACAAAATAACGAGTTCCCAAAATCATTTGACTGAAGGATGTCTGGAACAGCCTTGTCAGAGGATACTACAGGTAAGGGTCATTTCTTTTTCAGCAGGGACATTCAGAGGTATCAAAGAAATTGACAACTATGCATCTTGGGCCTCAAAAGGTCTTCATAAATGTAGATCCTTACTAATATGAATGATTCTGGTAAAACGTTGAACTTTATTCGAACACACAATAATGAATGATCCTATCATACTATTAGTCTTTCTGAAAATTCTACAGCAACGAAATTAAATTGAATGATACCATGTAATTAGCAGTTAGTAGAATATTCCTCAATCAGTGACTGTTTGTGATAGGTGCAATTTTCGATACCCATTGTACATCTTGATCACGGAGTGACCTTGCCTCGCGAGAACACGTCAATAACTATTGAAATGAATGTTAACATATTCAATGTTTGTGGTTGAAAGGTTTTCAAAAATCACCTGGGCAGCACAATACACACAAACATGACTTGTCAACTAAGTAGCTTTTAAGCTACTCCTGCATAGGGTTCTTAGTAACATGTATTTGCAAGATATTTTGAGCTAGAAATGCTAACCTAAATTGTACTAAGTGAACTCGCTAACAAAATATAATTATAAGATATAAGATGTATTTTCTTGAACAAATCAAAGAATCAAAAATCAGACCCTCTTTCTTCCTTAGTAGAAATCAGCATACATTCCTTTACATATTATTCCTATCGGAATAAACAAGTGATAATCAATGGCCTGCTATTCCAGGCTTTTCGAGAAATAGTTTACTCAGTTATTTTGATTGTATGTACATTACATGCCTCTTTGTTTATGATAGGTAAAAAAAATCAACTGGAGCCTTGCATGTATATCTAATATGTTGCATTTGTCAAAATGGGAAACGTGGAATTTTACATTCAAACTTGCGAGTGTTAACCACATAAAACATATTATTAAACTTGACCACTACACTTGCAGCAGTTATTGAGGGAGACAATCCAATATATCAGCCTGAAGATAATCCACACTGGTCAACTGGCCTGCTAGAAACCCAAGAACTCAGTACCCTGTACACTGAAAACACTGACTTAGAAACAATGCCAACCTCCTCTGGGAATGTTTCAAGTATTGATGAAGAAAGATCAGTAGCTGAGGCCACAGACATTGCGGACAATACTGAGCCTGTATATCATAACAGCTGTGTAAGTCAGTTTGAGCATAAGCCTGAAGACAATCATGGTGCCTCTGGGCCACCCGTAGATGCTAGTGATCTAGAAGACACAGACAGAGCACCAACTAGTAATATCCAGCACTCAGACACCACAGGGAGTTTAGAAGACACTATTATCAACCCTGACACCGGGGATGTTGACATCTCTGATGATATCGAAGCGTATGCTAACAAAAGAAGCAATGAACCTGATACCCATGACTACAAGGATCCAAACAAAAGAGTACTGACAAATCCGATGTACGAAGAACTGCCTGACACTAGCACACAGCAAACAGAAAACAATGTCAGTAATGAACACGACCTACAGGGTCCCTCCAACACTAATGACTCAAAGGGTGACAGGAAAATACAAAAGCTTCAATCCCAACCAAACATGAAATCACTACAGCAAAATGGGATGTACGGAGGATACATTCCCAACCAGTGGGCAGGAGGTAAGACATTATAGGTACAGAACTATGTAAATACCACAACATCATAAACCATTTATTCATTTCCGCAATCATTAATAAATTCATTCATCCATTTGTACAAACCGTTCAAACAGTTTTTGTCTGTAACAACAGCTTCTCTTTTAATACTCAAGTCTTTAACTAGTTTGTAGGCAATGTTACAATGTACCTTCTTTAATGTGTTCTTTTGTCATAAGTTTCTGTTTTGTTTACCTTTTACTCTGTTACATGACTGTATGTTATTTTGTAATTGTAAGATTAGCCATTAGGCTACATTGAATCGGAATAAAAGAATGAAGTGAATCCAAGAACTTGATTATTACTCATGTTCTTGATGCCTTTAATAGTAAATTTGACAATTAGCTGGATTCAAGCCTAACAATTTATGAGCAATTTATACCCACTTCAGGGGTATTCCTTGAGATAAATATCTGACATACACAATGATTTTAACATGATTATATTGCATTCAAAACATAATCAAACATCATGGATAATTTTTCAGTTCACTGATTCTCATGTACGTAAAATGAACAAAGAATAGTTTGTATATGATATTTGTGTTCAACAGATGACTCTCCAATCTATCGTTATTGGTGGCTCATCGTTTTAGTCATGGTTGGACTGCTAACAACAGGAATACTTGTGGGGATGAAACACAACACCCAGGATCATGGTAACCCCACGGTAAGGTATTATTATCATTTCCAAGTGTTTTTTTTGGGGGGGGGGGCATACGAGCAAATGTAAACAGGATAATTCATTGAGGTCTATACATGTAGCTAGATGGACTGTCTTGGTATTTGGTATGCGAGATCTCGAAATGATTAGATTTTGGTCTTTAGAAATTCTGGTTTTGATACTGTATCTCATGATTTAATGGTGCTAGGGTCACAAATTTTAAATGGTAGCTCTTGTGCAAGAAAAAAATAATAACCCAAGTTTGGACCCCCTAGTAGCAGCTTGGTCTGGCCAGGGGTATATCTTTTTGTGTTTGTTTTGCATAATCGGCAAACCGCCCTTAGGCGTAACACACCAATTTTGTAACATGTATGTACAAGCTGCATAGGGCTGTACTGTAAGGTTTGAACCACTCACACCGGGAAGGTCCCCTACTCTTTTTCAATAAGTGCGGTGGGTTCTTAAACATGCGTGGGGTGTGATTCTCCCCAAATCCGGACCTCCATTTAACGTCCAATCCGAGGGACGTCCCTAACCGAAGCTTGGTACTCATTTTCACCTGATCGAAGTGAGGAAAGTCGTGTAAAGTGCCTTTCCAAAGGGCAAAAGATCGGTGACATGGGTAGGACTCGAACTGGGGACCTCTTGGTCCTGAACCGAACATGCTACTGCTACGCCACACGACCCCACCCTTATTACATTAAAATAGCAAACAAACTATTAGTAACCAAGAACACACCTCCATACACAAGCAGGTAAAAGTAAATTGTTACTGCTATGTATGTTGTATGTTGTGCACTTACAGGTTCCCCCAGTGCATATGCAAGAATCCACAAACTGGAGTACTACCATCATAGTGATGACAGAACCTGATAATACCAACCAAACTAGCCTTGGAGACACGAATGGTATGTATTACCCATCAAATGTCATCATATCATGTATCACAGACATCAATATACAATGATGTCAGTAAGAAATTGTATCATTTACAAAACGTTTTTTTTTCTTTTAAATTAAACCCACATGCCTACATGTCTGCACTGTACATACACTGTAGCACTCAAAATACCAGGCCAAACAGTCATTTTGTTGAATCCCTTTTCGCAAGATTCTTTACTGTTTCATTCCAAAATATGTTCCATTCTTACACATGATTTAGAATATTACAAAATGGAATGCACCAGTGTTTTCGAATAACAGTATTTATGTATGACTTGTCTGCAGGATTGAGCACTCAGAAGCCTAAGATTGGAACAATCATCACATTTGGTGGGTACGGAAAAGGCTGGAAAAAACAAGGCGACTGGAAAAAAATGAAAAACCGCAAATTGTACGGCAAGTTCAACCAGGTGACTGGAGTGGCCGTGTCCTCAAATGACGAGGTATTTGTGAGTGACAATTGGAACAGACGAATCCAAGTCTTCAACATGAAGGGTGTTTTTCTCCGCAGTTTTGGCACAGATAAGATGAGACCCCTGGACATTGTCATCGACCAGAATGATACCCTGTGGGTTCTTTTGACACGTACAAATCATGCCCTAAACGAGCAGTTGAAACCAATCAAGAAGAAAAAAACTACATATCAATCGCTACAGCAAGGAGGGCCGTGTTCTTGAACGGTTCACGTGTGCAGCAAATTTGAAGTTCACCAAAAAAATTGCCTTGGACACACTTTCCAATGACATCATAATAACAAGGAGAGAAGAAAAAGTGAGGGCTGTATCAGCTGGCCGGTTTTATAAAAAATCATGCGCAGTGCAAGCTTTTGGGCCAGAAGAACTGATGTGGCTGAAATGGCCAGCGTCTGTTGCAGTAGACAAGGAAGGGAACATCTACATCACTGAGCAGCAAAACCATAAAGTTCTCAAGTATGACAAGAATGGAAAATACATCAACTGCTTTGGCCGCAAAGGTGACGAATCTAGTAACCACCTGAAGTCTCCTGTGGGCATCTGTGTGGACAGTTTGGGTCGCATCATTGTGGCCGATAATGGCAACAATCGGGTGGAGATGTTCACAGCTGAGGGAGAATATATTGCTAATATTGCTTATATTACCCGTCCCCAGTTTGTTGCTATAGGAAGGGAGGGTCAGCTAATCGTGAGCAGTCAGAACAACTATGTCACTATCTTCCCAAAATACTGAAAGTCCCCACTATGTTTGCTACATCGAATGGTTAGGCAAGTGGACACGAGATTGAGAAGTTATGGGTTCGATTCCTTGCATGCTTTATAACCATCGAGAAGAAACTACATGTAACCATTGGAAAGATAGTGTGGTTAATCTTGATTCTCTCTCTCTCTCTCTCTCTGTCTCTCTCTCTCTCTCTCTGCAAATTATAGTCAGTCTCAGTTCACTGTAACCTTTGAAAGTATTTGCACAAAGTAGAAATTCTATCTTACCTTGAAAGTATAATAATTATTCATCTGTTGGTAGAAGCAAGTTTGAACTGTTATTTAGAACACAAAAATCGGACTTACCCCTGGTACATGTACAAAATTTCAAACTGTACAATGCCTGGACCAGTCTTTTTAAAGGAATAAGCAATAATTGATAGACCACTACGCTTTGAACTGATTAGGTTGCAGGGGTCGAAATTCATTTTTATGAATTGGTGCACTGGTGCACCCAATCTAAAAAAAATTGGGTGCACTATATAGAATAAAAAAGTAGAATGTCAGTAAAAACTGATTATGTTTCATTTCTAAGGAAAAGTAGTACATGTAAAAGGGTGATTTTAGGACACTCAGATGTGGAGAATTGCTGTATACTAATATATATCTTGACATACGTAAACCTACAAAAATATTTGGGTCGCCTGGTTACCAAACCTTTTATAGCTCCCGAGTGCTAAAGGATGTAGGACTCGGGGGCTATAACAGGTTCGGTAACCAGGATAATTTTTTGGGTCACTGGTGCACCCACAGAAAAAAAAATGGGTGCACAGCTTCAAATTTAGGTGCATTAAGGTGCACGTGCACCCAGTATTTCGAGCCTTGGGTTGTAATATTGATTTAGTTATGTCTGTTTTCTTAAACAGGATGAACATACACATTGCTTTTCAGGCATGACCATTACATAAGGAGAAAAATATGAGTTTTGTATTGGAATTTAGTGAATATGACTACCAGTGCTGCACTACATAGAGTGGAACATGTCCACATACTAGAGATATTACTGTTTTTGTTATCATTTTGTAAAATATCGATCATTTCTTACAATAGACATTGTACAGGGGTCCGTTTGGTCAGTTCTGAAAATAAATGAAGAGTTAACTGATAGTCTAGTAACTGCCGACTTGTCACTGCCAACCACACTACCGAGAAAAAAAGAGTTTCAAGGAAGTCATCTTCATGTAGTTCAAGTCCAACAAGATGCTCTAAATCCACTGAGAAGCCAGATGCAGATCGTTCATGTATAAAAAAACAATGGAGAATACAAGACTTCCAAAAACACAGACGTTACTTTTGTATGTATAAAACTTTTATGACGTGTATTTTTTCTAAAATGGAGGTCATACTGTGAATCAATTTCAATTTGTATAAAACAAGACTTTTTAGACGTGTAAGACAACAATAGATGTCATAATGTAAGTATTTTTATTTGTATAAAACAAAAATTTTTATGAGGTGTAATTTTTCTAGAGGTTATATTGTAAGTCTACTTTAATTTGTATAAAACAAGACTTTTATTATGACTTTTCTAGAACAATAGAGGTAGAGGTTATACTATAACTCTAATATGTATGAACAAGACTTTTATGATGACTTTTCTAGAACAGAGGCAATACTGTAAGTCTATTCTAATTTGTATAAAACAAGACTTTTTTGACGTGTAATTTTTCTAGAACAATAGCTCAAAGTCAATGCCATACTGTAAGTTAATCAATGTCAGAGCACTTGACTATGAATATTTATGTGTAATTATGAATTAATTTATGTATATCTTAATATGATATATTATGAGGGTATCATGACTTAATTGGAGGAGGTCAGATAGAGTTCACTGTGCACTTTTGAACCCGGCTACCTGGGTGACCTGTCACCCAGTGCATCGATGCTTTATGTCTGTTTTCATGTTCATTATTATTATTATTATCATTGAGGTATATTATTGGTAACCATGGTTCATACGTGTTTATGTAGCTTTGATTACGTCATCAGAGGAAGTCAGGCAAAGTTAAGCGTGTTCTTTTTCAACTCAGATAACCAGGGTAACGTATTGTAAAGCAACGTTTTATGAACGCCTATGACAGAGACAAATACAACAGCATGTCAGAAAGCTTATATTTGTATGGTGATATACCGAACCTTATACCTTGCTCTTGAAAATGAACACGCACACACACACACCACATAGAAATTGAAAAGTCTTGTTTTATTTTCTTACTGATGCAGTTGTATGAATAAACTAGAGTTCCACGATCTCATGCCTTCGACAAATGATGTTAACCTTTACGACTGACAAATTATGAATGTTTCACATTGATTATCGAAATAATATCCTCACTTGCAATTATATCCTTTGATCATATTTTCCATCCAATGACAGTCTTATAATCTTAAACAAAGAGGGCTATTCTAGCATTTCCTCATAAATCATGCAAATAAGGTTCAGATTTGAATAAATTATGTTTAATACTGATCACCTTCACTTAACTTCCAAATGCAGCCAGTATGAAAATCCTGTCAGTAACCACTATTTCATTGTACTATTTATAGCATTTTTCTCATTATTTATGCAAATTAGGCCTTATTGACACCAAAAATTTGTGTCCCCAGCCTGTTTACATCATGAGCTATCAAAACTGCTTGACTGCATACCCCAGTTGATGTAGAGCTCAACGATTTGACCCACTTCCACATCTGTGTTTACACAAGGGCAGGAGAGTTACCAGCGAAAGGTCATGTCGGGTGCAAAACAAATGGAGTGTTCATAACAGAAATCAAATTCACGTAGCATTTTGTAGGCCGTTCTTGTCGATTGACTGTTATTGACACCAAATATTTGTGACCCCAGCCTGTTTACATCATGGGCTATCAAAACTGCTTGCCTGCCCCAGCCCCAGATAATGTAGAGCTCAAGGATGTGACCCACTTCCACATCTGTGTTTACACAAGGGCCAGAGAGGAACAACACCACTTGCATGTGGAGCTGACTGAGGGTTTATTTACAGTAGCTGGTGACCTGGGCAACAAAGAGGGCCTTTGTTTGTTCAAGGATTACAGGCATGACACTGATGAGTTTGCAATAGGGCATCATCCACATGAGACCAACTTCTGGGGGAGTCCTTTTGAACAGTTATATCCAAAAAGGCAGATTAAGCGCCACTTTCGCCAATTCCACAAGGATTCTGTTGTCCTAACAAAGAGGAAATTTTTTTCCAGCTATCCTTGTGGGCATAAATCAATGTAATCCGTAGAAGGTGGGAACCAAAAAGGTCTACTGCACTATGGATGACATATAGATTTCTCTATTAATTAATCAAATTAAGTCATAATTTACATAATGAAAATCTCTTCCTCTTGATTACATATGCCACCATTTTAATTGTTTTATCACAGAACCCAGCAAATATATAGACTTCTGTCATTAATTATGTAAATTAGATCGTAATTTGCAAAATATTCAGCAAATTAGGTCAAGCATCACTTAAGCTACCGAGATAACCAAAAATAACAACAATCCGTCAACCGGTTCTTGAGCTATCCTACTTCAAACATTTTCAAACAAATGCCACTGCATTTCCCAAACAAGCTGCTACGGAGCCCAAACTTACGGCACTTCTTTCTGAGCACGAGAACTACCTACCATCTAAAAATCATGACCATAGCACGTCCATATCACGAGATTTAAAAACCAGAAGTTTCGCTGCAGTACTTTCTAATTCAATGACGTGGGGACCCCCCACGAAGCCCATATCCGAACTTGACCTTGGTATTGTCAATGGTAACTTGCCAACTAAAAAACATGAACATCCATTTAAAGATTCTCGAGTTATCTTGATGACAAGAAAAAACACAAAAAACAAAGGTCAACTGCAGTGACATAGAAACCCCCACGGGGCCCATCTTCGAACTTGACCTCGGCATTCTCAACGGTAACTTGCCCACTAAAAATAATGAACATACATTTAAGGATTCTCGAGATATCTTGATGACAAGGAAAAAACACCAAAAACCAAGGTCAACTACAGTGACTTAGGAACCCCCCACGAAGCCCATTTTTAGCCTTGACAATGGCCACCCCCAAATCAACCTGCCTGCCAAAAATCGTGAACCTCGGACCTTGCCTTCAAGAGTTATCGTGCCTAATCTGCCAAACAGTGCAAACCCGATTTCATAACCTTCTCCGAAGGCATAGCCTTCAGTCGAAGGCAATGACTGATCTTTATTGCTAGACATGGTACAATGAATGGCAAGGATGACAATGTGGTATTGACAATCATACTAGTCAATTCCTGGAAACTAAAACTACATAAATACAACGTAAATGGCGTATTGACATGATGTACATTATATCAAACATTCCTGTCTGTCACAATTCTTTTTTATTGGCCTCGGTACATAGATATGGAGTCGGGACATGACATAAGTAGACAGTTGGCAACCAGCTATTGGACCAGGGAAAGTTCTTGAATGGTTACAGACAGTGCTTATGATGAATAAAGATGATATAAAAGTTACGTCACACCATCAGCAGTACTTAAATTAAATCTACTTACTAGTCTATCACACATCACCCAGGACTGAATGGACATATTTGTCCTAAGCGTAGAATTTGTCAGTAACTCTCATAGACTGAGGCGGACCCTGTTCAGTTAAAGCCAGCTGGTCACTGACAGTAAAGGCGCTTATAAGGAATTTCCTCACTGGTAAGTGATGATGCATTATTTTCTATGTGCCTCTGGTCCAGCATTTTTTTAGCCTGGTGTGCAGTCTATAGTGGGTAGGGCGGGCTTTCTTTGGGGCTGCAGGAGCTCGATTCCCTTAAGTTTTCGGGTAGATTTTGGACTAAGCTAGGGAGTTCAATTAGAGCTACCATAATCCAGTCTAGTACTGAGGTTCGGCTAAGTTCTGATGTACAAAACTCTACTAACAAAACTCCTACTGGCGTACCAGGCAGTCTTTTGAGCTGGGCGGGGG